TAGGCCGAGCATGTCTGCGGTGATTATGATGCTGGGAAGTGATAATGAATTGCCTCCTCCAAAGGAGCCAGGTTTTTTCAATGAAAGGAAGCTGGTTCAAGAACACACTTCTAGCCAACTGTTGCATTCTTCAAATGAAATCACTATGACATTGTTGTCTCCTCGTTAAAAGACGCTTCGGTTGTCGTGTGACTTACAAAAATAGATGGGCAAAGTGTTGGGACTGTGGAAGATATGGATCTTTTTTTTTTCCACACGCTCCTTTTTTAAGGTGCAGGAGATATTAAGATCAGAATTTGTACTTCATGGCACCTCTTGTATTTATTGATGCTTCAAGAATAGCACTATACCAGAAACTCTGAATGGTTGTTTCTAATCGGGGATGAAGTATCCTACTTGCTTCATACTATTCTCCAAGATGGCAAATGATGTTTTTTGTGGCAAAATGTTGTGGCAGGTCACTTCTGAGTCTTCAAATGAGAGGTCATTAACTTACATGTACATTTTTTTTTAATTTTTTCGATTGGATAAACTTACACGTACTTTTACATCACTCTTAATGGACCCAAATGTTGATTTCTCGACCTCTAAGTCATCATGGGCATATGACAGGATCTAAACGAAAAGCAATAGTCTGAGAGTTGCTTGCTCGTCTCGTCTTTCTAACAAGAAATGGTCGCACATCGGCCAGCTTTGGATTATTAAGTTAATTGTACCATTGGCTTAATGAAACACTGACTTAATGCCTTAGTCCTCTTTTTGAATAGGAACATGCTTTACTAACGTGAATGAAAATTTGGCAGATCAAAACCAGAGAAAGCTACTTGACTGGTCAACTCGCTTTGGCATCATTAATGGAATTGCTAGGGGGCTTCTTTACCTTCATCAAGATTCCAGACTCAGGATCATCCACAGAGATCTAAAAGCTGGCAATGTATTGTTAGATAATGAGATGAACCCTAAGATCTCTGATTTTGGCTCGGCTAGATGCTTTGCAGGGAATGAGACAGAGGCAAACACTATGAGAGTGGTTGGAACTTAGTAAGGACTTTTTTCTAAAGTTATGATCTCTGTGCTGAAGTTGCTTTTGAATTGATATTTCTTAACCCATCAATTTCTTCAGCGGCTACATGTCTCCAGAGTATGCCATCGATGGAGTTTTCTCAATGAAATCAGATGTCTTTAGCTATGGTGTTCTGGTGCTTGAGACTGTTAGAGGGAAGAGAAACAGAGGGTTTCGTCATCCGGACCACCATCATAATCTTGTGGGACACGTAAGCTCCGATATTTATCACCTTTTAAAACCAAGAACTGCCCCTAATGGTTTGGAGTCTTTGCTTCAGGCTTGGAGACTCTTTACAGAAGACAGGTCCCTAGAACTGCTCGATGAGTTCGTTACGTCGTATAAGACTGCTGAAGTATTGAGGTCTATACATGTTGCTCTGTTGTGCGTACAGCAATGTCCTGAGGATAGGCCGAGCATGTCTGCAGTGATTATGATGCTGGGAAGTGACAATGAATTGCCTCCTCCAAAGGAGCCAGGTTTTTTCCATGAAAGGAAGCTGGTTCAAGAACACACTTCTAGCAAACTGCTGCATTCTTCAAATGAAATCACTATGACATTGTTGTCTCCTCGATAAAAGATGCTTCGGTTGTCGCGTGACTTACAAAAATAGATGGGCAAAGTGTTGGGACTGTGAAAGATATGCATCCTTTTTTTCCACGTGCTCCTTTTTTTAAGGCGCAGAAGATATTAAGATCAGAATTTGTACTTCATGGCACCTCTCATATTTATTAATGCTTCAAGAATAGCACTATACCAGAAACTCTGAATGGGTGTTTCTAATCAGGGATGAAGTATCCTACTTGCTTCATACTATTCTCCAAGAAGGCAAATGATGTTTTTTGTGGCAAAATGTTATGGCAGGTCACTTCTGAATCTTCAAATGAGGGGTCATTAACTTTACTTAACAGGTTTAGCTACTGCAGGGTTGAAAAGATTTTCCTCAAAAGACTCTGATTGCATAACGTGTGTGTAGGAAATGACTTGTGGTAATCATGTTTCCTCACTGTCTGGCATCAAAGGATCTCTAGGGAAAAGAAAAAACTTTTGATGGTGCAACTCATGAAATATGAAATGTGCCGTCAATCACTCCTACGACTCACGTGATCAACGTAGCATTTTACAGCTCAAATCTATCGCCAATGAACACAGCACTTCACTTGTATACTTGTATCACAGGTAATAGCCTTACGGGGGTGTCCATTAACGACTTGAGAAAATTGTCCGACTAGTTCACAGCTTTTCCAGAGTGAACTACAACAAGTTGCAAAGCTGACGAGCAAAACATTATAAGAAACGGCCTATAAAATGCTATCTAGTCCTAGATTGCAAATGCGCCTAATACGATGAGCTACTTGGCGAAAAGATCCCCATCAATTGCGATTGGATATCGAACTCCTGAAAAAGTGTGATTAAGTAATGTTACGAATTATTTTATTATTAGAATATTTTGTTGTCCATGTTATATGTGAATGAGTGATGGTAAACTCGATGGAAGGGTAAAAAAGTGCATGTTTTTACGTTATGCACAAGCTCAGCGGGGTTATCGATTGTGTGCCCGAAATTAAATTCACCTGTTTTTAGAAGAGTAGTTACATTTGACGAGCTTCCAGTACTTTTGAGTAGGAGCGTTGCAGGTATTGTTTATACGGATCTGGACGGTGTTCAGCTCGAGTTGGAGGGCGTAACATCTGGGCCTTGCCCCAACGATCACTCTGCCCTCATGTCATTATCACTCACTGGCTGTTCCTAGTTAGATGATGTTGTTAACCACATTAGGGCCACGTTTCTTGTGTCTTCGGTTCAAGAAAATTTGCTATCCAACTGAGGTTATGCACTGTATAGAGAGAGGGAGCAAGCAGTGCTAACATTACGAAAATTTTATCTTACTTAAATTGTGATATTTATAGATTAAAAGTCATTAATCATATTGAGGGATCACTCGCTGTTAAACTGACCCAATGCATGCATGTACGTCGGTCCAATTTTCTTCCTCAGTTTGGTTAGGACAAATGAGGAGCTCTTGACTTGTTGGTCAATTATTGACGAGCTGCTGAGGTGGATCCAAGTCATCAGATCAGACGGTCCCCTTTTGTCACGTTCCTCCCACCACACATCCCCAAAAAAAAGTGTTCAGACAAGGAGTCAGAAGCCAACACGTGATGGTGATGATGATGATGGCCGTCAGATTAATGTTGCCCCTCCACCACCTTTGATTTGACTATTTTCCTAATTTTTAATGCCCAATTGAGCATGTGGGCGATTTTGACCGGCACGCTCCGAAGCAAGAGAAACGACGTTGTTGGGTAGCTCGGGCATCTGGTCCTAAAAAGTGTATACGGTTCAAATTGATTTAGCGTACGTATCTTCTGGCGTCCAAAAAGTCCATTCCTTTCGAAACATTTGTCAATGTATAAGGTTGGAGATAGTTCACGAGATGAATATTTGATTAGTCGGTCTCAAATCAATCATTTGACCATCATTACCCAGTTATTTTTGGCAACCGTATCTCTTAAATCTAAAATGATTTATTTATTAATTTGAGTCTAGTACGACTTTGTATACTTTAGTATTTGCAACACCCCCACTTGCCAATACATTATTCATCGTCCAGGATATCATAATGTAAGTGATATGGGGACGATAGTAATCAATTTGTTTTGTGCGACTACGTACAAAGTGGGAACTTTTTGGAAAATTATTATTATTAAACTTACACGTAATTTTTTTTTAAATTTTTTCAATTGGATAAAACTCACACGTACTTTTACATCGCTCTTAATGGACCCAAATGTTGATTTCTTGGCCTCTAAGGCATCATGGGCATATGACAGGATTTGAACGAAAAGCAAAAGCCTGAGAGTTGCTTGCTCGTGTCGTCTTTCTAACAAGAAATGGTCTCACATCGGCTAGCTTTGGACTATTAATTCGTTGCTTAATATTTATTGTTTTTTTGTCTCACTTTTTTCTTCTATGTACATATATATGCGGTGGTCACAGAAATTGAACCTCAGACCTGATACTTTCCGATCCCACCCCAATGCCTTTTTCTGAGTAGGGCCGAATGCCCGTTGGCCGTCGCTTATTGAAGTGGTCGCTAGTTCAACCTTTGGTAGGACTCATCTAATACAACGTCATTCTCTGTTCAATCTCTCTACACACAACTAAAGATCAAGGTCGTATTGTGAATCAATTTTGGGATTTGCGCCATCATATATTGACAACCTGTATGATAACAATAACGCGTTCACGAATGTCGGGAGTCGATGAGAGCTCGTATCAGCAACGGGATTTTCTGTAATTGCCGAATTTACTTAAGCAGCAAACTCAGGAAAGAGATGATGAACTTTCAGCGAACTCAATGTGCTTGTTGTTTTGCAAGTAACATTAGACTCTCGTTACTCTTGCATAAGTTGCTCATCCAGAATCTTCATGAAACGTTCCCTAATTACGGTCCAACACGAACGTTGGAGTTGCGTGGACGGGTTGGTGTGGTGGAGGTGCTGGTGCCTGCCAGACAGCGAGAAATGTATGATGATTCATCGTGATTCGTGATCTGGTCAGAACTCTCTCCCGACCAATCTCGGCCGTCCAATCCCTTGACCAAACCTGTTCGCGTGGCGCGCAGGGGATCCAGACCCCTCATTACCACGTGCTGTTGAAATTCTAAACCCGTGTCTGACAAATCTCCTTTAGCACGGCGCAATGGTCACCGGCGCGTGTCGCCGAGTGGAGCTCGAGGCGCGTGGCGATGGGGGTTCTCTTGTTGTGTGTGGGTGGTGGGGGAGGGTGGTCCTACTTCGTCTTTCAGATACACAGTGAGGTAAGATTCAAAAAGCATTTTTGTCTTAAAAAAAGGGTGAGGTACGGCCAATAGCGATAACCAACATCACTCCCGAAACAAGAAAAACAATTCACACGCACGCACCCGGCCTCCAAGAAAGGCAGCATTCCAGACACCACCACAGCCACGACCAGCACCGCAGCCGCTTTCGCCGTCGCCGGTGAATCGAGATCGCCGCTGCCGCAGCCGCCGTCATGGGGGCTGCTGCAGAACCTGTAATTTTAGTCTTTCTGGGGGCTCCTTCCATTTCCATATCCCTTTCTGTCTCTGTCTTTTCTAATGCTCTGGTGGATAAAGTTTGAAACTTTGTTTGAAGCTTTTTCTTTTGTTGTGTGTTGTGGTTGTAGGCGGTGGAGAGAGAGAGTGAAGGTGGAGGAAGAGGAGCTAAGGAGGAGGAGGAGGAGGTGGAGGGAGAGGTGAAATCGGGCGGTGAGGAATCGAAGGATGTGGAGAGAGGTGAGGTGGGATTTCAAGGAGGAGTGGCGGGTTCTTATCAGAACCCGACAGACTTTCGTGCTTCGATGTTGCAGAGTTTGGACTCAACGAACCCTTTGAGGATTGTCATCAATGGAGGGAGGAGAGTGACGACTCCCTCTCCCGCTCATGCATCCATACCTCGCTCCACGCCTCCCCCTTCTCATGGCTCCGTACCTCGCTCCACGCCTCCCCCACCTCATGTCTCCGTACCTCGCTCCACGCCTCCCCCTTCTCATGGCTCCGTACCTCGCTCCACACCTACTCCTCAGGTAAAAGCTTCACCTTGATATCTTCTAGTCTAGCTCGCTCTGTACAGTGCGTGTGTGTTCGTGTGTTCTTGTGCGTGACAAATCAAAAGGGAAGATGCAAAAGTACAGCATTTCTAATTCTTTGAGTTCTGATGAAATTACTGAATGGAGATGAAGAGTTAGATGCTTCTGTTTCATTTATAGTTAACTTTCCTCATTAATTTTTTTTTGCGTTTTCTGGGGCAGTCTATAGCAACACTGAACTCAAGAAATTGCACAAACAAACTATCTCTCTTCCTGTTCCTCCTGCACTTGGTGATAGCAGTCGGTTTAGTCGGTTTTCTCGTGTTCAAGGGGGTTCAAGGTCTTATAGAGGCATCAGAGGACATTAAAAGAAAGGAAAAAGCTCTGTTGAAGTACTTTGTTCCACAAGCAGAAGTTGCATCCTTTCTAAGTATTACTCTTGCATTTGCTTGGCAAAAAGCTGTGAGGGTATGGCCTAAGTTCATGGTCCATTTCATATTATGGAGCACTTTCGGCATGTCATTGTCGGCTGGAGTTCTGCTGCTTTGCTTCCAGACGGCTCCTACTGATGGCGTAGGAGTCTGTTTCATTGCATTTGCCATTGGCAATGGCTTATACGCATGCTGGGTTTCGCAACGGACTCGGTTCTGTTGCAGCATATTCTTGAAATCGCTGGAACCTGTTTCAAAGTTCCCAGACATAAACCAACCCACGTATGCAATGCTTGGAGCTGGATTTCTTTGGATGTCTTTGTGGCTTTTAGCTGTTATAGGGGCATTGAACTTCTACTTGCGTCCTTTGATCATCATTGTATTGGTGTTGAGCTTGGCTTGGGTGACTGAAGTTATGAGAAATATAGCGAATATAACAGTAAGCCGGGTCATTGCTCTGTATTATCTCAGAGGAATGCAATCTACTACTCATATTTGCTTACAGAGAGCATTGACGTACAATTTGGGAAGTGCTTGTTTTGGATCTCTTTTTGTTCCGACCATCGAAGCACTGAGAATTGTTGCGCGAGGTTTGAATTTGCTTCAGGGAGAAGATGAATTCATGTTTTCTTGTGCCCATTGCTGTCTCAGAGTGATGGACTTTATCTTCAGACACGGTAATGGCTGGGCCTTTGTGCAGGTAATGTTCCGAGAGAAATTTTTGTGCTGTAAAGTTCGCTTTTGTTCCATTTCCTATTATAAAATTTTTAGGAGGATAGCTTGTTATAGCAAAAATAATATCTGCAACACATCTGGGCATCATTGTCACCTAGGAATCAATATATTAACAAGTGTTAGATGATACTTCCTCTGCCATTCAACACATTGACGTAAGCTGTGAATTTGGTGGTTAATATTGTTGAAGTAGTCTCTAACTGGATGAGTTGGGTTTTACATGGTATCTGAAAGAATAATGTTGATGATTTTGGGTGATAGTCTTAGAGGCTAGAAGAAAGCACTCTCTTGTGCTTCGTGACTTAGGAATTCTGATTGTTATTTAAGCTGCCGAATTTGATTGTTGATGCTAAGATCTTGAATAAAATATCCTTCATAGATATCTTAGCCCCAAACCTCTCCTCAGTGATGTGCCTAGTCATCAATTGTGAACTAGTTCACCTTGATTGTTTCAAGCCGGTGTTGTTAATCAAACTCGTGCAACAGATAGCAGCGTATGGAAAAGGCTTTGTGAAAGCATCCCAAGATACATGGGAACTATTTGAAAAACAAGAAATGGAGTCCATTGTTGACTCAGACATCACCAGCTCAATTTGCTTCCTCACCGGAGTTTGCAGTGGCTCAATCTGTGTCATTGTAGTTGCTGCTTGGACTGTCACAGTACGCGGAAGCTTCACTGCCACAATTTCCCTACTTGCATTCTTCGTTGGGTACCTAATGGTAGGTGCACCTTACTTGACAATCTTGATTGTTTAACAATCACCGAGATACTTAATTGATGACATCTAATAGTGCTTTTTGTCTTTTTCCTTATGCAATTTGTTGGCAGACCAGAATTGCCATGGCACTGCCTCATGCTTGTGTGAGTTGCTACTATGTGTGTTATGCGGAGAACCCAGAGAATAGGCTCTTTGACAAAACGATAAAGGACCATCTAAACATGATAAAATCGGAACAGGAGGTGGTCGTGCCAACCCCAAGAGTGCCTATTCGGTTCCGAAGAGCATAGCCTGCAGAGCCATGAATCTCCGAGGATCGGACATGTGAAAAAGCAATCGTATGGACACGGGAATCTTAGAACCGTGGCCAAATTTTCATCCTGGACGCCGATACGTGTGTCGATACGGATATGGATCCGGGTCAAATTAGAGCGGAGGTGGTTTTTCCAAGAGGATGGTGAAGAACACAAGGATGCGTGAAATAGTGAAAGTCGACCAATTATTGAAGTACTGATATTCGAGGAATTGTAGAGAGAGCCCACTCAAGATTCTTATCCACAAGGCTACAATACAAGGAGAGCAAAGTTACTTTTGGCGCTGCTTTGCTCCAAGGTGTCATATGATGTCGCATATCCTTAAAGTATATACGGTGCGAGAGAGGGCTCCCACCATCATTATGTAATTGCTGTGCCCAGTTCTGTCCGTTAACCCCACCCCACCACCATCGATTCATTCAAGATTACTTCTGTACGTAAATCTTGTTTTTCCTTTCTTCAGATAGGTCAGTTTCGTGAATTCTACTCAACTTGTAAATAGTATTCTCATCTTGTTTTCCCTGTAAGAAAATCGAATTATGCACGTAGCCGGAGAGAGGCTTTGGCTGTTTTCTTTATTATTCTCTCGGCCAATAGCCTTTAGCCGCAAAATATTCTAGACAACACTAGAGAAGCATTGCCTGATTTCTTTGGATGATTCACGATCGTTTGTGCATCGAAAACCTTCGGACTGTGACCCAAGCATAATCCCATTCCCACATAATCCTCCAATATTGATTCTAAAGTCCAATATGTTTTGATTTTACTAGTGACTTGACTTCAAATTAGATTTTTTTTCACACATTGGAGCATGAACAAAGTCATGGCCACGGTTCGGAACCGGCGGTTCCGGTTCGTGGCCATGTGTGAACCGGAATCGGAACCGCCCCTAGCGGTTCCGGTTCCGATCCGGCCGGTTCCAGTTCCGAACCGGCCGGATCCGGTTCGTAATTTAAAAATTTTAAAAATAAATTATGAAATAAAAAAATAAATAATTATAAAAATATGAAATAATGAATTATTCAATATAAATTATAATCAAAATGAAAATTGTAGGGGTGATCGGTTCCCGGTCGAAACCGGGAACCGAACCGGTAAGACCGGTCTTTTAATTTTAGAACTAGGAACCGGATCGGCAAACCATAGAACCGGGAACCGGACCATTGGTCCGGTCCGATTCTAGGCGGTCCAATGGAATCCTTTGCTCTTAACTAGCAAAGGATCGTAGCCACAAAAGGCATACAACTTCACATGTTCATGGCTTGGCTTGGATTTTATAAACAACCCCTTTGATGGTTTCTTCATTCCCATTCGATGTGGAACTCTTGGCATTTGCATGAAGACAAGCCAAGAGTCTCATATTGAAGGCGTTCAAGGCAAACCGAGAGTCCTACATCGAATGAGAATGAAGAGACCATCAAAGGGGTTGTTTATAAAATCCAAGCCAAGCCTTGTAATTAGAGTTCAATACACCCAAGCCAAGCATTGCAATTGGAGATCAATGCACTTACAATGCATGGCAATTAGAGTTCAATTTGTTTTATAAAAACATTAATATCATTTAAAAAAAATAATTTGGAATCGGGCCCGTAGGCCACGGGCCGGTTCCGGTTCCGAACCGCGGGCCCGGTCAACGGGCCGGGCCCGGGTTTGACCGGGCCGGTTCCGGGCCAAAATCGGCCCGTGGCCATGACTACATGAACTCATTCAATCAACTGGCCCTTGTTGTATTATTTCAAGGGGTTAATATCACGAAAAATCTCAAACTGGTATACTTATGGTAAATTTACGTCAAACTAATTTTTTAATCACAAAAAACTCAAAATTGATATATCTGTGATAAATTTTTTCTAAACTAATTTTTTGACAATCAAAAACCCTAAACTGGTACACTTGTGACAAATTTACCTTTCGTTAAATTAGATTAATACCATGAAAAACTACAAATTGATAAACCGGTGAAAACCCCTAACTGGTACGCCCATTAATTGTCACATATCATCAAACTTAGAAATTTGACAATAAAATTTAACGAAAACTAATGGAGGGTGAATTTGTCACAATTGTATAAGCTTGGGGTTTTTTATGGTCAAAAAATTAATTTGAGATAAATTTGTCACAGGTGCCAGTTTGGGGTTTTTCATGGTATTAACCCATATTTCAATCTAAAAATCATGATTCTTATAATGAAAGCAGTAATTTAAATACGCCAAAATAATTCACATGCAAAAACATAAATCTCCAAAATTATAAAAATTGAAATCAGATAATTTGTTATCGATAACCATTTACATTCATTTCTAGATTATGATCTAATATGTATAAATACTATATTTCTTAACATATTTGATTATGTTTCCTTTGCTTCTTAAATGTTTGTAAATCACAGGCCATGTAATATTAATTTGGTTTAATCTAAATTAGTTGTCACACATCGTGCGTGTACATTTGCTTTTACGACAATATTGTAACTTTTACGAAAATCCCAAACTAGTACACCTGTGATAAATTTACCCCAAACTGTTTTTTTACTACAAAAAACCCAAAACCGGTACATCTGTGACAATTTTACTCCGAACTATTTTTTTGACGATCAAAAACCCTACATTGATACACTTGTGATAATTTTACCCCGAACTAATTTTTTGATCACGAAAAACTCCAAACTGATACACCTGTGACAAATTTACCCTCCGTTAGTTTCCGTTAAATTTTACTGTCAAATTGTTAAATTTGATGACACATGGTAATTGACGGGTGTACTAGTTTGGGGTTTTACCTCTCTATTTGTCATAAGTTTATCAATTTATGATTTTTCATGATATTAATCCAATTTAACAGACACTAATGGAGCGTAAATTTGTCACAAATGTATCAGTCTGGGGTTTTTAATGATAAAAAAATTAGTTCGGAGTAAAATTGTCATAAATATACCAGTTTAAGATTTTTGGTGGTTAAAAAATTAATTCGAGGTAAAATTGTCACAAATATACCATTGTGGGGTTTTTGGTAGTAAAAAAAATAGTTCGGGGCAAATTTATCACAAGTGTACCAATTTAAAGTTTTTGGTGGTAAAAAAATTAGTTCGGGATAAAATTGTCAGAAGTGTACCAATTTAGGGTTTTTCGTGATATTAATCCTATTTAAAAAGTGAGTAGTTACTCAATAAATGGGTATTATAATTGCAATGTTAATTTAGAAAAAGGAAAATTCCGACTAAAAAAGAATTAGAAAAGGAAAAATACAAGACAAATCACACATCTTGCTTATTTCGAAACAGGTTTAGTCGTGCAGAAATTTCTACAGGATACTTGGACTGAATAATTTCGAATAAACATAGTCTTTTCTCTAATTACAAGAGGGCCAGGTATATCAAATCTCTAATTTAGTGATCTCATCATAATTTTTCTTTCAATTCGCTTGAACAACAACAATCATGTCAATACAAATTGCCTTTTCTCTTAGTTCTTTTCTCTTCTTTTCTCCACAACCTATAACGATCTTCAAAGAAGGAGCAGCTTCTAGTGAAATTTCCACAATCTTATTTGCTTCCCGTTGTGAGTGGTGACAACTTTCTTCATTCCCACGGCCAAACACATGATCGGAGGTCGAGCAGCTCTGGGAATATTGTCGATCCGAGCATCTTCTGAGAGCCTTCTTCCATTTCTTTTCTCTATCCCTCCTGAAGAAGAAGAGGCTGATGATACTGGTTGGTCCATGACGTAACTCGAGACTAGTTCGCCCGTGCTTTGATCCAAAACACGCAGCACGCCGTCTATTCCACCGACCACTATCGTTGACGTGTCATACTGCATGTGTCCGAGCGAGTACAGCACGTTCGGGCTCACCCGTCTTTCCCACAGAACCCCCATTTTCCTGAATAATTAGCATCTTCTCATTTATCAGCTGCTTTATTTTAGGGTATCGAATATCGAGACCAAATAAAGCCCACACACATTCTACATGTTCAGAAAGGGGGGACATTCTTAATTTCATTAAGGTACCCAAAGCAGAGAAAGTGACAGTCATCAACTATAAGTACCTGAGATCCCAACAAGATGCATATCCGGAAGCACATCCAGCAAACACTAAATTTGAACAAGGGTTGAAACACAATGTCTTTATGCCTGTCAAAAATAGATTTAAGTTCAAGTAGTTTAGATATGGTGCAAGCATCTCCTGAATCAATCTATAGAATCCGGCTGAAGGAAGAAAAAGAAACTCTCAGTGTAGACAAACAAGATAAATTTGACTCATGATATGACAAAGGTTTTGATGTTTAAGTGCACATGCAACCTAAAATCATGCAGCAAAGAGGAAGATCAGCAATCGTGAGACCACTTTGACCATATTTTAGACTCTTGAGACGGTGCTATGAAGATCCATCATGACATTCATCAGTATCACATTGCAGACCAAAAGAAAGAACCATGAACAATTGAATCCTACACAACCAAAACCCACCAGTCCGCACTGATACCACCATGGCCACTTGCGACAAAATATTAAATATTCAGGAAATATTTCCCCATGCAAAGGGAAAAGGACTAGCTGAGAGACAAGTTACAATCAAGAGCTTATGGAATCTAGTTTCAGAAACAACTAAAAAGTTGGAGGACAAACCAGAATTATTCTTAAAGGCATTGGCTATATAACCAGAGAGAATTTCCATCACCTGCGTTCCTACAACATGCGTGCAGAACCTTGTGCTAAACCAATGCTCGAAATTCGCAGAATGAAAATGCATTAGAAATTCATAGGTCTAGACAGTAACTGATAAAAATCTAAATTGAACATGACAACTTGAAACTCCCCATGTAAACCCACTCAAACAAAACCAATTCTACAGATATATGCTGTTTGGAAAATTAGCTAAACAAACAAGGAAACAACCTATGCGGTCATTTGGCCTCAATGTTGCTACTCGCTCATCAGATGAAAGACCTGATATTGTGATGCTCCCAAGCGAGGAACCACTAAAAATCAACTGCTCACCGCTCAAAGATAAGCAGGTCACTGGGGCAGAATGCATCCTGCAGTCAACCAGAACAATCATTAGCAAGTCACTACAATATCATTACCTCCCTGATGCATCATAAGAGGATTGACATCGAACTTAGTTTCACCGAAGAAATTCTATCGACAGAAATTGCATTTCAACAAGCAAATCAGAATAACATACCTAATGATTCGAGAACATTTCCTACTGTACATGTCAAACACACGAACAGTACCATCCTCACATCCAACAACTGCCTCGGGATCAAGGTAACTGCAGATCAGATGTCAGTCTTACAATGACCAAATCTGTGTCATGACACCAACAAATACACTTGAGAGAAAAATAAAGAAACTAACTTAATGGAGCCTATATTTCAATAGGTATGCATCCTAGAGACAAATGACAGAATGAACACGTATGATAAAGCAACGTTAATTGCACCGAGTCATGTTATAAGATCAAAAGAGCTGCTGTTTAATTGTTCAATGCTTCAAAGGTATGACTATTTTGCTACTTTCCTGATCAAGGACAGTCCAGAATAATTCCTAGTGTTCTTGATCAGAATGGAAGTTCAATTTGTTCTCATCCATATAAAATTGGAATATGCTGATCCACATAATCACGAGAAAGACATCCCAAATTCACTTCCAATATGAACATTAGATACTGAGCCACATGACAAGTCCATAACATGGAATGCCTATTTCCATGCAATGAAGCAAAAACGTCTCTGTTAATAAAAATCTGGAAAACCCGATAGACTATTTCCCATGGAAATTGAAAGTATAGCGGTTTTTCATGAATCCATTTCTCTGAGAAGGCTAATAATAAGTATATTTAACCTGGCAAACCTGATAGACTATTTCCCATGGATATTGAAAGTATAGCAGGTTTTCATGAACCTATTACTCAGAGAAGGCAAATAATATCCAAGTAAGTATATTTCAACGCACCGCAGACACAAGCCCTTCGGAAACGTTCCTTCACGGGAGGGAAATATGCTTCTCTGGCCCCCACGCCTCCATATGCCTATGCGAGTGCCAATTAAGCCAACGATCTGCAGAAAGTCGACTGGAGAATTTTAGAGTTTCTTATGTATATAGCTGCAACATATTATCCAATTGAGCAAACTTTAATCGTCATTAGACCTTCAAATATCTCAAGAACCAGCAACTAGTCAACCACATGATAAAGTTGGAGAGTATTAGCTATATGATGTTCAGCAAGAGGAAAAAATAATTACAATAGAAACATGGCAAGCCATGATGCCTTTCTGTGCAGGAAGCACCTTAATATGGAAATTTTGGGTTGTCCAGAGAAATTGCCAGCATATGTTTCTGAATGAAAGGGTATCTCAAATTTAATTAAAGTTGCAATATCATGTTCTTGATGAAAATTAGACTGTTAAGACAAAAGAGCACCTCCTATGCACAGACATAACTGTATTACATATACGGTCTTATCTGTGCAAGAATGTGTCTTCCCACTTCCACCATCTCGAGACGGAGAAAACTTAATAGTACCTTGCTTTCATCAAAATCATAATCGATTAAAGAAACTGCATGTGGAATAGCATACTCTCCAAGGCATTTGTAACTTTCAGCTGACCAGAGACGCATAACCTAACATCACAGCACATCGTTAGTGCCCATGACAAAAAGAGAAGTCAGCCACCAGAAAAAGACTGAAAGAACATTATCGCAATTTAGCAAGTGAATGGTGTATATATTTCGGTTGAAAAATGAATGATATATTAAAATAAAACTTAACGAGAGAGAGAATATTAAGAGTTAACCCCTGCGCAAGAGCTGATTAATCACTGCCTTAGACCTCAACTGACATTTTGTCAGAAATTAGACACGATAAGTTTACCCCACCAGCATGAATCGTTCGAAAACAACTCTCAAGACAGCTGTTTGATTAATTTGTACAGTTTAATGTGCCACCATAGTGAGAAGCTAGCAACAAGTCACAAGGGCGAGAAACAAGATAGAAATTAAAAAGTCCCCGACCTATTAATCATGTAACCAGCTTATGAGAAGGTAGAGAAATACAATAGGATAACGCAGTATAAAAAAGTTTGCACTTTTTCTTCTAATTTCAGGTTAATTCTATCGTACCTCTGGCCAGAGGAAAAGAAAAAAGAAAACCCCATAATATTACATGATATGAGAACAAATATTTTTTGTTTGGCTTGTAGCTCATGCCACAAATGTATTGCACACAACAAGATCCTATCAACAAGAAAAGCAAAGGAAAACAACTCATAAAATTCAAATTCTTTTCATGACTTCCTTGCTATTAGCTGTAGACTATGCCGCCCCAGGAATCATCCAAGTAAATCTCATAATGGTACCTCTTTCAAGAAAACCCTGAGAATAAAGTAGGATAGCATTAAAGAAGACCATACCTTGTCACCTACACCAGTGAGGATTGAACTCATCTTCATCCGGCACTGATTGACCCTAACAGAGAGTATGATTAAAAGTTAGTCTAACAAAAAAAATTTGGAACAGTGGATAAAAAATTCTAAATCTTATTTTGGACTACTTACAAAACCTTGGTAAATATCAAATTCCCCTGTTCTGATTAAGATTTCAATTAATCTCTTTGCCGAATAAACTCCGTCAGATATTAAATCATATAAAACTGAGGAATTGTTTAACCCTTGCAATTCTTTCGATCTCTTCCTCAGTTACTCACTAACAGATCATATGCCATATGCTCACCAAAAGGTACTAAACACTATGTCATGGTAAGTAAAGCATGCGATTACCCTGTCCCATCAATGGTAAACGACCAGAAACACTTGCTCGTAAAGAAGCAGAAAGAAATTGCTCCTGATAATGAGCAAAAGTTCATGCTAACAGAGGGTAATCACCAAAGCAACAAATGGATCACGGTTTCATTCAAATTCAACCATGGAGGAGAGAAAGTGAGACTGCAGTGGTGATGGAAATCTTACCCAATTGAATGCCCTTTCCATTGATCAACTTCAACATGGCCTACTCTCAAAGAAGATTGGTGATGTGCTATCGCCCATTCCCGCATATGGTATCTCAGTGGTTTCTGCGAGAGTGCGGGCATATCGGAAGAATGTGCATAGCTGCCACGCTGCCTATGATACAAGTCCTGCAACAACTTGGATTTGTTGACAATCTTGTTCCTGCAAAACCAAAGTGGTAAAAGGCGTTTCAAAATGAAGCATATCCCACCAAACTCTTTGATTCACCGAAAACAACAAAGGCTGCTTTTAAGCCCAACCCAAAAACGGCCACACCAAGATTATGACTATGCTCTCCCCAAAATCCCCAAGACACAAGCATCATTTGCAGCACTTCCAGCATTTCCAATCCGAACCCCTCATAATTCAACTCGTTCCAATACACCGCCCACTATATTATCATCAACTAGATGGCGAGCGAAGGGTTAAAGACACCTTAAGAAGCACAATTCCGAGAAATTTTCCAACTTTGGACACTAAATTGAACTAAAGTGCCAAACGAGAGGGATAGGGAGAGGCAGACCAGAATTTGCAGACGGAAGAACAGTGAGCGAGGTCGAAGGGGCCAAGGAAGGAGAAGACCACGCAGAGAATGTCGTGGTCGAGAGAGTTTATGGAGGTGGTTCTCTCGCCGCCGCTCCTCTTCCTGGTCGGCGGCCTCCCGTCGGCGAGCGACGGTCCCGTCATGCCACCGGCGGCGGTAGATTCCCTTGGCCCGAATCCGACAGTTCGCGGGAGACCAAGGCTTTCGAAGTATGTCTCTTCAACTACTCAGACAGCACTCGCACTCGGGCAAAGTCACGTAACCCAAATTTAAGACTTGGAAAATTTCTTTGGTTTGTCAAGTTGGATCCAACTCGGTTGTGTCGAAAGTAATCCGATCAAAATTGAACAATTTTAATGTAATATAATATTAGCTATTCATAAGCCATTCAATTCGATTCCAATTATTGACAATTTTTCTTCTTAAACTGTTGCTATTAACGAATGGACGACTCTATAAACCGGCTTCTTAAATCGGTAGGGGAGCTATATTGCTTGGGTCGTGTCATAAGCTAAGGGTTCTCGTTGTACATGAGCAATATGGAAATATAGGTTACCATTGCATTGACGAACAAAACCACTTGCATGGATAAGCTCAAGGATCGAGTTATAGACGGGGTGTGAAAGTGACATATGATATTTAAAATTAGGCTGTTTTTTTTAATAGGTTTTGGACTTTTTAAACCCCTGCTTAATCCTTAAAAGAATGCTTGATCGATTCATACCCACAAGATAATTAGCAAAAACATATAGGTCTGTACTTTTGGAATAGTGCCTTCCCTCCGGAGATTTTCGAAAGTAAGATAAGAACGGAAATGAAATTGCAATTACCTAAAGGTGTCAAATAAGTGCGTCGACAGATCATTCAGATCGACTCAAATAACCCATATTTCCATGTTTGAACAAAATCGACTATATTAATTAATTAATTTTAATAGTTGTCAAATAACTTTTGATATGCTGCTTCAACTTGTAATACGTTCAAGTAGAAGGCCTTGCATGTAGGTGTCGTTGCACCCAGGCTGGAGTCCATTATCTAACTATCGTACGGAGGTCAATTCAATCATAAACCTATGTTACGGATAGTAATTCAATCATAAATCTTTCAGTTGTGTCAATTTAGTTATAAATCATTTGGTGATTTTCCAATTTAGTCTTAAACCTTTTAATTATGTCAATGCAATTCTAAACCTTTTTGATGATTTGCCAATTTACCACCAAGAGGGAGCTTAAATTCAGATCCGTTAACATATTCAGGTGGACTCATTAAGCCAATGAGTTAATTTCTCCGACGTGTTATCGAACACAACTCACGTGTGCATATCAACAACCTCGCCAATTTTCTCTGCTTTCACATTCCTCTCCGCATCATTATCTTTGTTAAAAGAGAAATAATGAAGTTCTTGAATTCCTAAATAACTGAAGAATTACATATGCGCCCATGTGAATTACCCAAGAAAGAGAAAAATAACGGAGACAAAAGCGAGTCCTCAAGCATTAATCCATCATCTTCAAGCACTTGAAAGGGTCTTATTTTGGTGGGAGTGGAGAGCCAGCAAGGAAGTGAGAGATGAGAGAGAGAGCTCTCTTGGGCTGATAGCTCGGCACCTGATGCCCCGCTCCTCGCACCGTCGCAAACGTCAGGTCTCCCTCGTACACTTGCACGTACCCTCCGACCTATGTACATTAAAGACGGTGCGGGTTACTTCCCGTTCAGCAAATCGAGCCAATTGATCCCTCTACGAGGAGGGGATCCAAGACGAGAATGATCAAAGGGTATGTAACTCAAAGGGGTCGATGTCGTGAAAACAAGTAAGCCGCCTCACCTCGCCCCCGAGGAACCAAGGACGCCATGGACTCTTTGTGCGGAGGCTCATCTTGCTAAGAGACCTCTGGGTCGATGTCACCGGCACTCTTGCATCCGTATCCCCGCTGCATTTTCAGTCGTTCGTTAGTCATACCCCAACTTCAATCACCCACAAACAAATACGTTTATTTTCTATATATACACACCCACCTGAACACCCAAACGCGGAGCCCATTGGACATGAATTCTTGGAGGAGAGGGAGGACGGTGGAAGGGCCCCACTCCCAGCCCTGGATAACATCGCTGCAGGCTTCCCAGTCGTAATCGAGCTTCGTCACGTTGGCATGAAGTGCCTCTTGCACATCTTCTCTGTTCATGTACGCATGCACGTAGTAGTCTTCACACGGGTCGAAGTCCATGATCTATTAAGGTTTTGCATATCATCGTTCAAAAGTGCAGAAGTTCGTGTGGAAAAAAGAAAGAAGCAAATGGATTTGAGCTCACGTCGGTCTTCTTGGGATGGGCAGTCAGGTTGGAAGAGAAGCACGGAGGGGCGTAGATGTCGTAAATGTTAATGTAAGAAACATCACCATCCGCCTGCGACGTAGCCGAAAGGCATTGGCTTCCTCTATCGCTGGCCTTTAGTGAAAAGTTGCAATACTTTTGAATTGCATTCCATGTTTCTTGGGATATCAATGCATGCGTAGCGAAGTACTCATACATCCCTCTGTTGTCTGTCTCGTCGTTGAGAACTGCGTTTCCAATCTACATGCGTCCATATATCCTCAGTTGAAACAACTTACTATAATTATGAGTCATGGATAAAGACTACGCAACTTGTCAAAACAACTTACTATAATCCCTTTGAGGTTGATAAGGGTCTTGTTTGCCTTCTTGTTGTTGAATAGGATGTTGTGAGCGAGCTGAGGTACGAAATGACCAGCGTAGCTCTCGCCTGCAATGTAGAAATCCCGGTTCTTGTACTCGGGAAACCTCTCCAGCCAATTTAACAAGAATACATAATTGTCCACAGCTGTTTTGCTGTCTCCGTTTGTTCTATAGTCCGACGTTGTGTTAGAATAAGAAAAACCAACACCAACCGGAAACTCTAGGAACAACACGTTCGCAGCTGCCCTCATAAAACAAATAATTGATCCGCCCTATCAGCGAAAAGAAAAAGGTGAAATACTTTCAAAAACACTAAATTGTATATTTTAAATACTTCACCTGTATTCCATGCAAATTTATTTCTGTAGAGAGTCTTCCCGTCGCTATAGACTCGGAACGGTCCGTGTTCCTGCATTGCTCCATAGGCGAGGGATGAGCAACCGGGCCCTGAAAAAACAGCACAAATAGCTAAGATTTACTCACTCAAACGCACCAGAAAATAATATAAGTATGATTGACAAAATAACGACGCAGATAGATAACCAAAAGAGTGATATAGATGGCTCATCTGTGCTTGTATATGCTCTGTAGAAAATTAAGAGGACGGTGCTATATTCATTGGACCAATTCAATTCTGCGATGTTCTATATCACTGATAATCAATTCAGATGTTGGAATTGACAAGATGAATAATTAAGGTAGATTAGAAAATCATGATAACTTATGTTAGTATACTTTGACTATAGGCTGCACCTAAAAATACGAAAGACATGTAGCAACGCTTGAGCGCAAAGCACCTGCATCATATTAAGATATCAATATGACCGCTCGAAGTGTTTCAGAATCAATAAAAGCCAACCACCACAATTAGAAACATGATTAGATCTCGTGACAAAGTTATATTTATTATTTTATGGTAGAATACTTATATCGATTGATGAAGTTTAAGTTCAACCTAGTATGACGCCGTAACTATCATGCAATTATATATCTCGACTTTAAAAACCGTAATAAATTCCTAAGCGAAGAGAATAATATACTTGCATTGGAGATCAAGCAAATTCGGGAAAACTACAGCACTTACCTCCGTTAAACCATAGAAGAAGCGGCATCGAGTCTTTCTTTCGCCCCGCTTCGGCAAAATAATAATAAAAGGCTCGACCGGCTGATTCATCGACGGTGACATAACCACCATAATGATCGAATTCGACCGGCGGTTGTCCAGTCAACCTTTGGATCTTATCTTTCTCCTTAAGTCCTTCTTGACGATAAATCCTAGAATTGAGAATTTCATGGTAGTCGCTCGCCTGAAAAAGGCTCATGTCAGTACCAGACTTCTTGGACTTCGCTTTGTATAGAGAATCAAGAGGGTCTCCTTGCTTCTTTCCATGGATGTGAACAAGCGACGACAAGATACATAAAGAGAAGAGAAGAAGAGAAGAACGAGCTTTAGGGTTTCTCTCCATTCTCTCTGCTCTGAGAGAGAGAGAGAGAGAGAGAGAGAGAGAGAGAGAGAGAGAGAGAGAGAGAGAGAGAGAGAGAGAGAGAGAGAGAGAGAGAGAGAGAGTGTGTGTGTGTGTGTTTAATGGTGGTTGTAATATATAGAATTGGATTCGAATTGGCTGTGTATATAGAAAATCGGAAGAAAGAGAAGATGGCAACTGGTGATTGAAGGGGAAAGTCTCCACAACCTGAGTAAGCTTGATTAGATCTAGGTAATTATATCCATGCAATTAAGAATTTTTCTTTTATTTTCGGAATCATGTTGTGCCATATGACTCCAATATAGACAGTCTTTGCTCATACGGAAACCCAAGCCGCTTATTATAGAAATACTTTCATTTTATCGAATCGAATCGGATATAATATATGATTTGTTACTATATATGGATATTGTGGCTTAATATTCATGATGTATCTTTAATTAAATTATTCTACAGCTTCCTTTTATTACCTTTTTTTTCTTTTGTAACCATATTAAGTTTTGAAATTAAACTTTTCTGCACTTAATATCATTTGGTGTGTTTGATAACCACTAGATACACACAACTTGATTAATTGGTTTAAGTTAAAAATCACTCATTATGTTGAATAAGAATAACTTACTTAATTAAGTGACGAAACATACAATAGAAACTAAAATCATTCTGGTTATATTATCAAAACCTTCTGGTGATGCTCATTATTCCATGTTCAGCATGAAAACAATAAAACAAATTAATTAATTTCATATGTTTTCAAATAACATTTTTATTTTTATCTTCACTACTTTTCGGAGCTTAATATTCATAATTTAAAACTTCTTTGATCCTCTATCAATGTTCATTTACCTTTCTCACCAACACCTTAAATATATCATCTAATATATGAAATTACCTACCTTTTTTGTGTGACTAACTTTTATATGTCTAGGTTAGGGAAAAGAATAGCAGGAGTGTCATAACTTTCGTATAGTGTTCACTTGAGTGTCATAACTTTTTTTTTCGGCTTACTTGAGTGCCATATCGGAGTAAAATCGATCATTTAAGTGCCATTTCCGGCAAATCATCATACGTGGATTTTTTTAAAAAAAAATTATTAGTTGTCTACGTCAGTGCCGACGATACCACGTCGAACGACCGGCGTCCACGTCAGATTTTCCGAAGAGGCAAATCGTCAATGGCACTTAAGTGATCGTTTTCTCAAATTTAGAGCACTCAAGTTAGCGTCGTACGAAAGTTAAGGCACTCCTAGTGTACTTATCCCAAAAATGATTATACATGTGCCCATTGAAGGAGTCACTACTTAAATATTTGGGAAAATTATCAATTTAGTCCTAAACTTATTGTACAGACATCAATTCAGTTTAACTTTCCAATTTTGTCAATATACTCCTACACATATGCACGATATTGAAAAGTAGTTTTTCCTGCCAATTGCAGTCGCAAATTGCAACGTGGAAATCAACAAATTGCCCACACCAGCATGCCACCTAGGATTGCCGATGATGACTAAATGCCACGTCCAGCAATTAGCAAAAAAATCTACATTGTAATATTGCCCAAAAATTCAGGACTACATTGACAAAACTTAAAAAGTAAGGCTGATAAAGTGGAATGGTTAGTTATTGACAAGAAAATTATGACAATTGTAATTGCATTATTAGACAATCCAATCAAATCATTAGCAAATACATATTTTTTGCTAATTCTAAATGTACCAGAATTTCCAAAGAAACAAAAGAAAAAAATGTAATAAATAATCTTAAACATGGGACGTGCAAGAGATATTATGGTCAATTTAAGGTAATAGGGGGCGTCGGAAGTCAAAAAATGGATAGAAAAAAGGCTATTATGCGTTTAACCTTATCACATAATTGCTCGTTTATTTGTTAAACTTAACATACTTATTTATATTTGAGTTGATGCGAGTAAAATAAGGAGAAAGTATTATGGGTTTTTGGAGTCAAGGGCCGTATGATGGTTGGGAAAAAGGAGAGGCAAATGATGTAATTTATAATTTACATTGCTTATGTATTAGTACATAATAATTGATTTGATGATATTTTAATTTTGATCTTTGTTGAAAATTATATTTAAAATAGGAAAAATTTCAAATCAGTAGCCAAAGTGGGGTATTTTCTCAAAAAATGGTCTAAAGTGAACGTAGTATCAAATAAGGGCATGAAGTGCCTAATCGGTCTTAAATAAGGGCCCGAAGTGCCCAATTAGTCTCAAGTAAGGGCTTAGATTCACCGGCCGGTCAAATGCTCACCGGCCGGCAAGCACATCACTATTCCGGCGATCGGAACAAAGACAATTTCGTATTTTACTTTTTAAATTTTATTTTTATTTTTATTTATTTCTTTTCCTTTTCCTTTTCTTCTTCTTTTTTTTTCCTCTTTTCCCTCCACCGGCCATAGCTAGGGCCGGCGGAGGTTGCCGGAATCAGGCGAGGGCGGCCCTCACCTAGGCTGGGTGGGCGAGGGTCGACCCTCGCCAGATCCAGCGAGGGCGAGGCTCGATGCCGGCGGGGGCGATGGTCACCTCGCCCGACCCATTACTTCAAAGCAACGTCCGCACGAGGAGAACAAGCGCTTCCCCGTCTTTCTCCATCATTTCATCGTGAGCTGAAATTCGCTCTCAGGCTCTCGCATTCCGATGAGCTGAAGCGGAAGCCTGCCGATGAGCTCGCCCGGGGAAGCGAGCGCTCTGTCTGCTCGGGCGACCGGCGGCTCCGCCTTCGTGGAGAGACCCTCCGAGATGGTCCTAGCTCGCTACCGCTCGCCGCCGAAGAAGGGGAAGCCCCAAGGGCGCGAGGTCACCGTCCTCAGTGCCTTCCTCTTCTCCTCTCCTTCTCAAGGTTCTCTTCTCTATCGAGCTCGAGTCTGTTGCTTCGATTCGTTTATTGGTTCTGATAGGATCGAGCATGATTCCGTTTTGTCTCGTGAATCTCTCTCTCAGAACTGGAAGTGGTTTCGCTCGGAACGGGGACTAAGTGCATCGGGCGTTCTTTGCGAAGCCTCCGCGGCGAGGCAACCATCACCCCCGCCGGCGTCGGGCGACCCTCGCCAAATGCGACGAGAGCAACCCTCGCCCTCGCTGGATCTGACGAGGGTCGACCCTTGCCCGCCCAACCCCAGCGAGGGCGGCCCTCCCCCGACGGCGGCAAGGACAGCCTCCGCCTGAGGCCGGCAACCTCTGTGGGCCCCTGCTATGGCCGGCGAAGGGAAAAGAGGAAAAAAAAAAGAAGAAGAAAAGGAAAAGGAAAAGAAAAAAGAAACAAAAGAAACAAAAAAAATTTAAAAAGTAAAAGACAAAATTGCCCTTGTTCCGATCGCCGGAACTGTGACATGCTTGCCGGCGGGTGAGCATTTAACCGGCCGACGAACCCAGCCCCTTACTTGAGATTAATTGGGCACTTCATGCCCTTATTTAACACTATGTCCACTTTGACCCTTTTTTGAGAAAATGACCCCACTCTGGGTACTGATTTGAAATTTTCCCTTTAAAATATTTTGGATTTTATATGCAATATTGGGCCTCATTCATTAGAAGTACTTAGTTTTGTATATATAGTACCCACTTCTATACATATATCATATAAAGAATTAATTAATGCAAGACATTTGTCTACATGGGACCCTTATGGTAAAGTTTAAAGGGATAACTGCATTAATTGGGCCCTCCCCAACCTTTTCACTTATAAATAAAAGTGGGCAAAAGTACATTAGAAGTGCCATAACTTGTGTACGGCGATCATTTTGGTGCCATAACTTTTTTTCGGATCACTTTGGTGCCAACTTTTTTGAAAATCGATCACTTTAGTGCAAATGCTGACGTGGCTCGCCGGAAATCCGATGTGGCGCTGACACGGCTCGCCGGAGAGGTCCACGGCTCGCTGAAGAGGTCTAGTCAGCATTAAAAACCAAAAACGACGCCGTTTAGCCCTCTGACGTGTACTTTTTTTTAAAAAAATTATATTATATTGAAAAAAAAAAAAAAACCTGCAGCAGCGGCGAGGGCAGCCGCTGCTGCCGCCAACCCACCACCGCCAGGAAGGCCCGGCGGTGGTGGGCGCAGTGGTCGGCGAGGGTCGCCGGCCTCTGGCCGGGGCCCGGCAACCCTCGCCGAGCCCAGCGAGGGCCGGATCTGGCGAGGCGAGACCTCGTCGTCGCTACCCAGGCGACGGCGAGGTCTCGCCTCGCCCAGCAAACGGCAAGGCCAGACCTCGCCGTCGCCTGGGTCGCGACAACGAGGTCTCGCCTCGCCGGACGAAGGCGAGGCCAAACCTCGCCGTCGCTTGGGTCGCGACGGCGAGGCGCGGCCTCGCTCGGCCGGGCGAGGCGAGACCTCGTCGTCGCCGGGTCGCGACGGCGAGGTCTCGCCTCGCCCGGCGAAGGCGAGGCCGACCTCGTCGTCGCGACCCGGGCGACGGCGAGATCTCGCCTCGCCGAATCTGGCCCTCGCTGGGCTCGGCGAGGGTTGCCGGATCCGGCCCTCCCTGGGCTCGGCAAGGGTCGCTGGGCCCCGGCCAGGGGCCGGCGACCCTCGCCGACCACTGTAACCACCACCGCCGGCCCTTCCCGGCGGTGGTGGGTTGGCGGCAGCAGCGGCGAGGCCTCCCTCGCCGCTGCTGCAACTTTTTTAAAAAAATTAAAAATTAAAAAATTCGAAAAAAAGCCACGTAATTTCTACTGTGTACAAGTCAGACCATTTTTTTTTAATATAAATGCCAGGTCAGCTTCTTGGCCAGAATTTTGGCCGGAGTCACTAAAGTGATCGATTTTCCTCCGACTTTGCACCAAAATGATCCGAAAAAAAGTTATGGCACCAAAGTGATCGCCGTACACAAGTTATGGCACTTCTAGTGTACTTTTGCCAATAAAAGTGTTTGGGATAAAAACAGTAGGAGCGCCATAACTTTCGTACGGCACTCACTTGAGTGCCAAATCGGAGTAAGATCGATCATTTGAGTGTCATTCCCGGTAAATGATCCTACTTGAATT